AAATGATTTACGTGCAACCATATTTTTATAAATAGCATGCAGTTTACGCTGTAAATTTTAACGGATTGGTTTCACTAATTTGACAGTAAGTTGAATAAAACACCCCTGACATTTACCATGTTTTATGTTTTATTTTCGCTTTTAAATATTTTTTTTTTTTTTACCTTATGATACTGTCAAATTTAGTCACATATAAAATGTAAATTTATTGCAGAGTAATATTTTAAGAAGTCGAATAATATACACTTTTACCTAATTTTTTGCTTCGTCTTATAGTCGCATAAGCTATTAAATTTACGTTCAGCAATATATTCTACAAAATATAAAAAAATTGTTGTTTACTGTTTCTTCTCGCATATAAATTATCAGGAATTTTAAAGATGAAAACATACAAAATATTATGAAATTCTATTATCTTATTAGTTCCTTTCAAAACATAATTTAATTTTCATAAGCTAATTATTATTACTTCATATGTATGTTTAACTATAATATTTTATGTAACTCGTTACACAAAATCAATGTGTAAACATCAAAAAATGTTGGTTCTTTAAATTAAGTAATATGTCAAATAGCCTTATTATAATACTACCTAATAAATACATAAGTGAGTTGATTATCCCCGTCACACAGTTAAATTGTAAAAGGCGCATAGAAAGGATTTTTTTAGGGAAAGGGATGTCTTATTTTATATTTAATTATATCGTATTAAAGGGTGGGGATGGGGGTTACACACTCTATATTGTAGTCGTAGTCAATCTTCATATTAATAATATGTAATATGAAATAGAATAATATATGACAACATATTTTGTAGAAATCTAAATCATATTATAGTACAATATTACATAATATATTTTTTGCTTAACTGTGGCCAATTAGGGGGAGGATCAGAATCCAAAACACCCCCTGGTTACGTCACTGCCTTTTCCTTGTATACGTCATAATAAAACTACCAACAATAATATCATGTCCAGGCACATGTGACATATTACGTGAGGAAAAGGTCCATAGGGTCCATCTATTCTATTTTGTGTGTTATGTCCTTTCGAGCCAACAATAATATGTTTAGCTGGATCGTCCCTTTTTTGTATGAAATACACAAAAATATGTTTGTATAAAATATCTATATAAATCAATGACATTTTTGAAAAAAATAAAATAACACTCCAAGGTATAGATGACAAAAGTAATAAATAATATTAATGACATTTTTTTCATCTCTTAGTATTCCTTCTTCATTATTATTATTGTTATTATTTTTTTTTTTTTTTTAAACCGTCATTGAAATTGAAATGCATAATTAATTTCTTTACAAACACAAATTTATTGTGTAAATGAGTTGACAAAAGGATATTCAAAGTTTATTATTTCAAGAATGAAAACAACACAGACACACACACACATTAAAACTTTCATTTCATAAAATTTACTGTACAAAATTCGATTTTTTTTTCAAAACGGTTCATACTTGACAGCCAGAAAAAGAAATTTAATTAATTTTTATTTCGATAGCTTGGTTTGCATAATATGTAATTGTGTTATAATTATTTTAAAGTAGTCAGTTCAGTATTGAGTATAGAATATAGATAGTAGCTGTGGATATTTATTCATTATAAAGTAACCCTTTTGAAAATAATATATGCATATTTATAATGAATATTTACAACAATTGTGACATAAATGTATTGATAGCTGAACAATTATTAAATTAAACGATTCCGAAGATACGCAGGGTCCACTTTACACTGGCCATTGTCTAATAGGTTCGTTTTGAAGGTATATAATTGGTGTTGACAAAAGGAACATGAAATGGAGCAACAGATAAATATTATTTTCCCCTCATAATGTGAATATTGTGAGTTTTTTACCGGCCTCTGTGCCCGACAAGAAAAGACCGATTGAAACATACTTACGTGAAATCCTCGACAGATTACTTGATAAAAGCGACGTGTGTGACCTCATAATGTGCATATTAAGGATGATTAACTGCCTATATACATTATATAAGCCTCGCAGCCCCCAAGTAGTTGGGGCTTACCCCGAGTCAATTCCAGACCGTTGTTCACTGTTCAAATATAATACCTACTTAAATATATAATCGGTGTTATTGTATATACTATATAATGGGTATCAGCTGAGCGCAGGTCTGAGTTAAATTCGTGTATCGGGAACCTAATCTGCCCGATACCGATGCCTATAATATATTATTATAATATGTTTATCGTCTGCGTTTCATTATAATAATATTCCGCAGGCCATTTCGACACGTTCGCGGTATAATAATCATAATAATAATAATTATTATTATTACTATTCAGACAGTAATCACTGCACGCGGCATCCGCCCATATACGAACCGGAAGTCACTTTTGCCGTGTACATTATGGATCGATTAATAATATTAAACCATTATAGTATTATTATACAATACTGCTCATCGGAGGGCGGCGCCCACTGCGTTTACCCTACACGTAAACGTACCTATACATACTTGTTGTATTAATGGGGACATGGGCCCCGCGGACTTTTACACCGCACGCATTATTTACGCATCCACGGATCTCCTGCAGGACCACGGCGAGCTGTCGATTTATTAACGGCTAACGAGACAACCCTCGAATAAAATATTATTTCGACGAGCTTATATTTATTGTATACGTATTAATCGAACACGCCCACGGAGCTAATGGGTTTTCATATAGACTCTACCGGTTTGGCTCTTTTGTTGTGATTTCAGATCGTGCGGAAAGCCAAATATATAAATAATATTATTATGTTTCCACTGTCCCGATCCCACCGCGACCTGGTATCGTAAAGGTCTTAATATCGTGTTCTATCGCAATGCGTATGATATTCATAATAATATGATGTTTGCCTCGTGTGTTAGTTTTACACTTTAATCGTACATCTAATTTAATTGTAATGTTGAAAAAACAATATAATTTGTGACAAAGGCACACACGGTTTTTCTTTGCGCATGTATAAATGGTAACGATATAATATGTATATGCAGATTATATTATATAATAGCGAATCGATAAATATCTCTAAATCGATTCAAATTGTATTATAGAAGTTCTATGCAACAAATATACTTCCATCAATTATTTAGTGAGAAACCCTATCGCTAAAGACTACACACAAACACACACACACACACTCACGCATTATAATAGTATATGAGCATATAGGACGGATTTATTTTCCACGTGACTCTAATGTTATTCGCGTGTAATATTGCACAAAGAATTATTTATGTTTCTCGTTCCACTCGAACACTGTTCGTACGAACGTACAACAACAACTGATACATATATCAGCATACATACTTATACCATTCGTCCGGATGTTATTAATTCAACGGTCGATCGCGCATATTAACAGTCATACCTATACATATTTATAATATGTTATATACCTAATATAGCATCTGATAAGAGCCGTATTTCTAAGAGCCAATCGGGGCTTGGGTATTTTTTTTCAAATTTATAATGTTGCAATTTCGGTATGTACAGAATGTATGAATTTAAAGTTTTAAGCCATGTATCACCTATAGAAATTTGTGAGTACGAGTGTTGCATTGAACTATTAATATCTTCCGGTGTAATTATTTTTAACTACTTAATCACATACCTAGTTATACATTATATTTTACTACTCCACCATAAACTAGTCATAACTATATAATAAACCAAGTTACTAAAATTTTTAAAAAAAAAACAACTATAGGTATTCGTTATTTTATATCGAATTTAACAGCATTTAATGTATTTTTAGTAAATAATAACTAATAATACTATAATAATAGGTAACATAACATCTTATAATAAAGTACATTATTATTTAATCAAAATATTTTATACACCCAATAATGTAGCTATTTTTTGTTTTGTTTTGCAAAAGTTCTAATCTAATCTATTATAATCTAAATTTTATCTGTGTAGGTAACAAAATGTTATTATTAAAGTTTATTAGATATAAAACTTTATTATCAGCCAATTTGCGTGTCAGTGTGTGGTTTCTTAGCTCAAATATTATTATATTTTTATACGCAATCGTGAAGTAGGTAGGTACCATACATTATAATAGATTTTATGATAAAATATACTCTGTAATTTAAATATTTAAGTGCACCCAAAATATATTGAGATAAGGGGGCCACACTAACCTTAACACGTACACCACCAAAGGGTTCTTAATTTAGGAACTTATTTTTCCAATGAGACTTAAATTTGAACACCATAAATTATAAAAAAAAGTGAGACTTAAAATTTACTATTATTTCACTTGCATTTTAAATAATAATGAGTTAAAGTATTTTTCATGTAATAAATAGGTAGTATAATAGTATAGAAAATTAATATTAGCATGCACGTGTTGTAATAATGTAAGGAATTCCATTTTTTTAATCAATCTATTTGTTTTCAAATTCTTTACATTCTAAGAGTCATTATAATTATAATTTTAAATTGTTTGATGTGTTTATTTAAATTTTAACATATAAATTATAAATATGGCTTCAAACTGATTTTATGAAATAGTTAATAAATTAACATGTTATGATTTGCTATAGATGATATATATTATATAAAAAAAAAACATTAAGATCCAATTTATCATCATATTTATGAAAATGTTTATACTCGAAGGGGCTAAATTTAGATCTCAATAGGTAACAGCAATAAATATATTATTTAATGGACTTCATACGGCCACAAGATTAATTTGGGATCTTAATCTTAATTAATTAAAAATTATGATTGATATCATATTAATTAAGCCATTTAAAACATATGTGAACAGTTGAATTATTTGAAGAATTTATTTTAAAACTTTGTTCAGTAAACCACCAAAAGAAACCCTTGGTGATGAAGACCAAGGAGATCCAATTTTGGATCTCTTGGTGGTCAACGTGTTAGTTACGCTATGGTATATCTACAGACTACAAGCGTGATGAGAATATTTATAATATTTGTAAACGTCCTTACCACACTTACCTTGGCCGATAACGACGAATGCGGTTCGTTGAAGAGCGCCCATAGTTTTGGCTTGGTCCTCTGCCAAAGGTTCAGTGTTCCAGCTAAGTATTCTTCCTCGTAACCAAACATTCTGGCAACTTCCTCCTCGTTTGGTTTCTCGGAGTCGATATCCAGCTTGTCGAGAATGGCGAGGGTCGCCTGGAATCGCGTCAAAGGTTCGTTTTAGTAAAAAAAAAATAAAGAAAAAAAAACACTCCCAACAGAATTAATGTTAATATAACTGGTATAGGCACTCAAAAACATTAACGAAAGGATAAAAAAAAAAAAAGTTCGTATTATATCGAGTTCGGTTGTTGAATTTTTCGAAGTGGTATCCCACTTGGTGCGTCGTAATGGATCCTTTTCTCTTATATAAAAGGGTGACACACTCTCGCGTTACCCCATCGCTATTCGCTCACCGAGTTTCACTCACTCGCACGTGCGTGCTGTTTTGTGTGTCATTAATCAGCAGCGGAAAACCGGAACTTACTATCCATCAACCCTATCACTTGCTCTTATAAGTACAATTTTTTTCCCGCACACTTGTCTTTGCACAGACGCGTACAACTTTCAGAACTTTGAGTATCGAAAACATTTTACTGTTATGCAAATATAACTTACGTCGCATCGTACAGTAATGGATTTAATCTGATCACGTAGCGAGTGTGTACTACAACCACGAGGAGTCTAATCAATTGCCAGACCACAGAACGACGTCGCTGTGTGTCCATAGTGAATTACGTGTAAAATGTATCACCATAAGTTATTAGGTCAATATAAATAAATATCCTTAAAAAGGCCAAAATTAAAAATTGTAGTGACAATTTATTGAAATGTCACCTATTTTTCGCCCATTTGACTATTTAAGTCATAATGAAATATCATAATACTTCGATACTCACATATAAAATGTATACAAATTATTACAAACATTATAATATAGATAGGCATTGTGTTTAGTTGCAGGTCAAGTCAACAGGCTCAATGCACTACCACATCAGCATCAGACCAACTCCACAACGCCGCCTTCAACGCGGACGCCCGCATGACCTAATTCCTCAAGAAACATTTTGAGCTAACTTTAAGTCTCTAACTATTGTTACCATCACCTAACTTATAATTTGAATGTAATTTAATGATCGCACTTAACACTTCAAAATGTATTACCTTTTTCTTTATATCCCCAAGTATAGATAGCGAAAGCTAGGAGTACCTTATTGTAAAATAATAAAAAAAAAAAGTTGCAGTAACCTGTGTGTCTCTGTGAATGCTGTAAGTGGACCAGCAACAGGGCTCTACCTGATTCGAGTCCAGTCCCCAAAACTCCAGCTCGTCCTCGAAAAGCGGTCCACAAACGTTTGTCGGGTAATGAAGTTTCCCCGTCCTGAAAAAAAATTACAAGCAACAAACGGCCAATGCCATTATAGTGATGTCAACTTGTGCGTTTTAGAGACGTTTTACCTATAGTAATTGAGTACTTGGGCAAACACGCCTGGATGCCTATCAAAAAAATACTCGTTGAGCACAGGATCGTAATTGGCTAAAGCTTCGGTGAGTCTGCTAAGCCTCGTAGCTGGTATTTTCTTCAACGTGGCTTTGTAGGTCTCGTAACGGATACCACCGACGTTTAGTATGATCCTGTTCTCACCATCCATGTCAACTGTGACCTTGGTCGTCACGCATCGTTAGATCGTGAACTGTAATTTTCAAATAAATTTTTGTGTTTTAATGAAGACGTGTTAAAAAACATTTTTTTTTTTTTTTTAAACCATTACACATAAGAATGACAAAAGTTATTTATGCCGAACATAAAACGTGAGTGTAATAGTTATTAAAAGTAAAACAATTAGTATAAAATTGTAGACAAATTTACTGTAACCATATAATACTGCGGTATGGGTGAAATGTAGATAAATCAATTAGATATTCAACTTTACACGTAAAAGTTAATTTAAACGAATTTCATTATAGGCTGTACATTGTTGTACATTTAAGACTTAAATATCTTTGTTTATAATCCACTAAATTATATATTAGTAGGTACATGGTCACGAATTTTGTTAGTTTAAGTTATGGGATTATTTCATACGCCATGCCTACATTATACACGATGCACAACCCTTAATACAAATTAATATTGTAGTAATATTCAATAATTAAATTAGGTGCAGTTTAATCAAAACAGTTTTCAATTAATAAAACATAAACTTTTTAGTTTCAACTTAAAATAATTTAATAAATAACTACTATACTAATGATTTTTTATTTATAATAGCTCCGTAGTAGATATTAATTGTTTAAAATTAAATGCAAAGAAATATCTAAATATTTATTTGTATTTTGTTTACATTTTATTACTGAGTTACAATAATTAACTCATCTTTTAGACAGTAAGTATAATATTATAAGGCATTAAGGCGTTGAATATTGTACAAGTTGATTTATTCAGCGTAATTTACTTATTTTCTCAGTTGTTTTTTTTTAATTAGTTACCTAATTTAATATCGGACACAACTAAACCTATCAAAGGATTTTGTTCTAGTTAGGCGCCGCCAGGCGTGTTGTCATTGCGGTATTAGGTTAAACATTATTCGTGTTTATGGTATGAGGTCTGGAATATTTTGTTGGGTTAGTTTCAGTGTATATGTAAATGTATAATATATATATATTCCATATTATATTATTTTAAATAAGCAGTGCTTCATTTGTATAAATATTAAATCAATACAATTCTACTCCCTAAGTTGTATTCATTTAAAATATAATATGCTAAAACATTTTTATTTTATAGATCTAGTTGATTTTAGTGGCCATCAATATTAACAATTTGAATCCGTATTCAAAAGTGAATATTTGATGTCTAATTTGATGTTTATTTGTATCGAATATGGAACAAATTTTTTATTTTCCATGTATAAACTACCGATTACAATTTAGAATTTAGAAATTTTAATGAACTATGACATTTAACAGTCCTTGTAACAGTTAATACTTAATATAGTATTATATTATATTTTCTAAAATAAAACTAAACCCGTATCTACATCAAATAATAATTGTTTTTATAGGTTTTTTAATACTGCTTTATTTTAGAGTGTCATCGAGATACAACATCTGAACTCTATTTGTAAGCATTTAATGTATAGGAACTCTGAGCTTATTCTGAGCACCTAGTGGCTACAATGGTGTATAAAAATAAGTTTATTTTTAATAACTTTGTAATTTAAATAAATATATAATGAATAGTATATGCACACTATACTTTATTATTACTTGATAACTTTATACATTTAAATATAATATGTAATAGGTACTCATGTTGTTGTATACTAGCTACTGAAACAGCCCCAAAGAGCAATTGAAATATTACGGAATCTTATTATATAATATATAATATTATGTGATTATAATTTTTAATCTATGACAAAAAAAATTTTTTAATATTATATTAATAAAACAAACTGTAAAATTAAATTTAAAAACGTGAGTAAAAATAGTTCGTAATATTATTACTGAAATGTTACATATTTTCATATTGGTATAGATGTATTGTTTTCATTCGGTCACTTTGGTATTTTTCACCGGGTGTTATACCGAATATAAATACTATTTTCTGTTATATATGCGGTTTAATTATTGGTGAGAGCGCACTTTTTTACGATACATATACTTTAAAATCGACGGCCGAGCGACTGGGCAAGGGTGGTTGTACAAAAACGTTGGATAGGGACCAAATATAAATTAATAGTGTTAAAATTCGATGGGTGTTGGGGGAGGCCGTGGACAGTTCGAGAAAAGGATATTATACTGCGACCCGGCGCCGATGGTGATAATGCATTCTAATGGGCAAAAGGCCATCAAACCGATAATTGCACACAAACACATTCACACACATTTACGCATATCATACATTATTGTATTGACTATTGAATAACAGTGGGAATGTCTGCAAACGTGGTCGATGGTACCAATCGACTATAATAATATAATAATAACCTAACCTAGTCGCTTTATAGATAGGAATTTTAAGTTTTTGTTTGTATTTAAAAAGTTAGGAACACATTTACAACCTATAGTCTGATTTATACAATAAGTAAATTAGATAATTTTATTTTAGAATAATATTTTATTCATACGATACGCATCGCACAGCTAGTATTATACAATAATAAAAAAAACATAAATACTCATTAGGAGGGAACCATCAGTTTATAATAATACATAATATATTACATCATTCAGGTTTTTTTTTTTTATGAAGTCGTATGAATTAATATCTATATTTAGTTTAGTTTTTTTCTTTGTTACCATAGTTCCATGGTTCTTAAAGTTTATACTGCGGTGCACATTAAGATGTATGTATACCATAACTGTATAGGTAGACTGCTACATTGTGGTACATATTATACAACATCGTATGAAATATAAAACAAAATATTATGTAGTGTTCTTCAGCTGTGTGAAATTAAAATATAAATTCCACATGTATTACACAGTAGTATAAGACTGGAAGTCATAATTATACTTATATGATAATTTACAGTTTTTCGACAATATTATTTTATGATTCATAAAAAAGCACAAAATATTTTTAATTTTTTACGAAATGTAATATTATGTGTAATTTTCAAAACAGTATAGCCATCGAAACTTTTGTAAGCTAAAAGGCCAATTCGACTAATTATAATAAATTAACAATGGGTCAGTAGTTGATTCCCTAAAACTCTTTTTAGCCAAGCAACCCACCGAGTGTACCTAATCGAGAAGTCGATAAAACATGCTGCAAATTATGACTGTCAATATCGCCGAGTATAATTTTTTCAAAAATAAAAAAAAATCAATAAAATATAAAATCCACTAAACTACAATGTAATATTATTGTGTTATTAATAATATGTCCCTACTGCAGATTTCAGCAAGTGTGCAACGATATAACATGATATATAACATTCGAGCTTTGGGCAACCACAAATAATCGAACTACCGACCAGTCTTACCGCACAGTTGTATACCTACAACACGGGCACTTGGTAGTGTATGGTAATAATTCAAAATTGTAATAATATGTTATATATTTGTGGACTTTTCGAACGGAGCATAACGTTTCCGAATCGATTCGCAGTCGTGGCGTGGGAGGTATTAATCATTTCTTTTCCATCGAAGAGGTGGTGCGGATTAGCGGTGAGGGCGTGGAGGCAACTTGAGACGTTTGGCGATTAGCGTTTAGATTTTAAAGTGAAAACTCGCCGCCGTTATTGTTTTGCTAACCGACGCCGACTAATGGTCTCACATAAAATAATAATAGTAATAATAATATTGCACTGCTGAGAAACGATGTGTACTTATGTATAGTAATCTGCAGGCGGAATCGAGAAATGACATCGCGGAAGACAGCATAATATAATATATTATTTAGACGATGGACTCATCTCGGGACGAGTGTAACAAGTTTGGCGCCGACCGTCTCCAGATTTTCGGATTTTCGAAACGAATAATCGTGACTTTGACGTCCATTCATTGATGTACAGCTCGTGTCACTGGTATACCTTCTACACAACAGTACACCATGAAAAGTATTATATATAGGATTTTTTTTTGGAAATGTTCGGAAAATTCTACGCAATTCTAACTCGCTTTCTTGTCCGTGCAACCCAACTTCATTTTGTGGGCGAAGTCTCATTCAACTTTACCGTTGAGTAAACAGGACCATTGTACACGGGTAGTATTAAAACCAGAAGTTTGCGTGTAAATAATTTAGAACCAATTACATGAAACTACAGCATACAATACGATAAATCTTCGTCGAAAACTGTACACGTATAATCAATAATGTATTTTGATGAACTTCTAGTCGATTCGGGCTTTTCGTAGTTGCATTCCAACACTTATCCATAATATAGGTAATACAATTGAACCTAATTGTATCCAGGAATAGGAAAACGTATATATATTTATATACAAAGTCTTACAATTATAAAGTGTAAATTTGATACTTTGAGAGTTCGAGAATAGCTGTGCAGGGTATGATTATTTTCCCGGTCTCGCAGCAGATCGAATTTCAATCACAAGACTGCTAACAGCGTTCTACGACATAAATGTATAAAATATATGTATATTCGATTCGCTATTTTGCACCAATATTAAAATTACAAGAAAATATTACACACAAAACAGATTGAAACCAGCTGCAGTATAATATTTTTGTATAAAATACATATTTTAGTTTTAATACGACTACTGGAATCACACTACAAGGTACAAAGTATTAAAAAAAACCATAGCAATGAAATGTTTATGTAAATATTTTAAACAAAAATTGAGAAATATTTATTTTAACCGATCTGATACAATATAATCTATTATAATATATATATAAGTTATACTACGGTTTTATTGTAAAACTGTATACTTTATTGAATTTTCACGATAACAAAAAATACCATGTCTTAAACAAGTATTATCTTACAGTTTTTCATAAAATTAAACAATCATTTGAACGTGGTTACGGCAGAGTGTATTGAATATTTTTAGCATAAACAACGAATGTGTAAGTAATAATTACAATTACTGGCATGGATTCAGAAGTTCATTTTAATTTTTAACCGATCAAATGAATGTTTATTTTTATTCGTGCATATTTAACGTACAGTGTAAC